TTTCTGTGTCAGAGAGGGCTTTTGAGTGAGATAGAAGGCAGAATTTCACCAAGTGAACATTTCCCTATCTTGTTAGGGGTTTCACTTTGGCAACCTTAGGAATAGAAAGTTACTGTTTCTGTCATTTGCTTATTCACCTGGTTTGTTCTATCTGCCCTATGTTGAGAGTAAGAAGTCTGGAAGTTCTGGGCAATCATTCCCACGAACTGTTGGTTGCATTCCAGATGATTGGGAAGTGCAAAATGAAACATATTTCAATGAGATTGGAGAGGATGAGCTAGGTCAACATAGGAGGAGGAGAGGGGGTGATTATCTCAGAGCCAGGCACTTGGCCGAGCCAGGCTGTCCCTGGGGACTGCCAAGAGCTACAACCAACAGGAGGGGTCTCTGAGGATGAGGAACTCTCAGTTGCAAACCAGCCCCCTTGCTCTTGACCCCATAGTGAGGTGTTAGCAGAGATGGGAGGCCCATCTGAATGAGCAGTGCATGGGGAGGAGGTGTGCTCACCTTCAGAGAGAACCTTCTGAGGGGATGGGACCCAGGTACATTCAAAAGGTGAGTTCCTTGAATCTAGGCTGGGTTCAAGCTGTTGTGAACCAAGAACACTCCTTTGAACAATTATCAGTCAAAGACTGATTTACTTGCAAACTTTCTTTATTGCTGCCAAGTACAGCTCTCTGAGCTTAAGTAGAGTGGTTTGTACTTTCCCAACTTGGTGTCTTCAGATGTTTCAGGCTACAACTTCCAGCATGGACTTGATTGCTGGGGATGATAGGAGCTGAAACCCAAACATATGTTGAGCCCCAAATTTGGGAGGGCTGGACTAAAACATCTGTCCTCTGGAATGTTGATTATTTTGAGATGACGTATTATCCGTGCCACCTCATGACACGCACTCCGCCACTTAGTCTCAATTGTTTCAAGGGAATGTGTGCCTGGAAGCGTTTCTCGTGGTTTCAGGCCTTGACTCCTTTATGAAGGTGCATTGGTGTGAGTGAAGAGTCGGATTACCAGCAGCTTGTCTGACTCCCTGACAGGAGGGAAGCCTGTGCCAGTTCCTCTTGCTGACAGATCCTGGGTGGCATTGAGAAGCCCACCTGCAAGCTCTCTTTCAGGGAGTCAGGAAGACTCAAGTTACATATTGGCTACAAGCCATCAGGAGGGGCTACTGGGGAAGCAAGCAGCAACCCTGGTTTTTATACCAGCTATTTCCTCAGGAGTTACTAGAGACAGTAGTTATTGCTAGGGAGAAGATCCCTGCCATGATGTATACAGCCTGTCATATTATTGCTTTGGAGTGGTGATTCCTCTTTTTGTTGGAGCTTAACTGGACTTTTGGTGCCTATAACCAAGCAACATTCGATACAAGTTTTTTAAACACTTTTAAAACACCTTTTAAGTGTGAATCTGCTGACGGAAGCACTGGAGCAGGGAAGGCTTGACGTTCTCCTTACACCAGACCCAATGACAGTGTGGATCTAAGTTAAGAATAAATTTATAAAAGTAATGTATGAATGCGGAAAGAATGTGTTTCCAAACATGTGAGGGAGAGGAGAGGAGAGATTGTTTAGTGAATGTGATCACCAGGTCTCTGTTCTTTAGCCCAGATATAACGAAACAAGCCTTTATTTTATCTCAATAAAGTCTGGATATCCTCAAAGCTGTGGAGATATGATTGAATCTGGGCAGTGTGCTGTACTCCATTTCTTCTAATCATTACATTCTCTATAACAGGAGCAGAGGTTTCAGGAAAGCTCTCAAAATAAGAAGTGTTTCCATGGCAGCATTTCTACCTTTAGGGTAAACCTCTAAGGCAGAGAAAGGGTCCTTCTTTCCACCATCCCTGAAAGACTCATTATCTCCTTTCTAATGGTGCCGTTTTTAAAAATCAGACTCAGAATTTGAAAGGTAACTCAAGGCTTGTGGTATACACACATGCACGGATGCATATCTGTTTTGCTGAAATATACTTTCTCAGTGAAAACATTATGCTCAAATATACAATCCTTGTTGACCCATCAGCATTTCTGCTTCCCCAACATAAATACTACTGGAAAGGGTGATTGAGTTGTCACCACTATGCCTGAATACCTAATTATTGATGAAAACAGTTGTAAAGGTGAAGATTAACCAAGCATTAACCCAAATATTATATGAAATAATGGAGGGTTATTCTGGACATGGGCCTTACTTTGTGGCTTCTGATTATCTCAACAGAAATAGCTTACATGTGTATTTAAGTACATTGAATATTCACCATGAAATTCAGGGTGAATGGGAGATTTCAAGGGAGGGGGATCATCACTTTTCCCTTGAGCCCCCCACTCCCTGCATCTCACTACTGCTCTTTGGAACCTCCCTGAACTTCAGTGCCATTTTTGCTGAAATAGGGGCCCCTTTCTGAGGAGAGTCCTGATCAGGAATGAACACATCAGCTTCAAAACACTGTTGTATCCGGCTATGTGACTGAGATGTGGTTCACATAATGACAACCCGTCAGTCTGAAAATGGATTGGCTATTCTGCATGAGTGGAAAACCTGTTCCTCTTTTACTCAGGAACCCACAATCAGCTCCTGCTGAGCATGATGTCTGAATCTAGACTGCTGTGTTGTTTCGGGCTAGCCCTGCCCCTCTCCCCCGGCTAACAGCCCATTGCTTGTTTGGGGGCTAACTGCTTGGTGTTTGACCCCTAAACCACCTGGTGGCTGGAGCTGAATGTGGTGTGGGAACTAGTCCCACTTCTCCCAAAATACAGCTTTCCAAGGTTATTACCTCAAATTCTGAATCAGAACTGGAAAAAGAGGCAGGGTCAGAATTCTTAGCAGAAATGCCAAGCCCAGAAGGCCCAGTGATAAGCCAAGAGGCTGGAGAGAACCAGGCTGTGTCTGGTTCTGTAAGACATTTGATTGAACAGGTGGAGTCAGATGAGGGCCGATGTAACAAAAGCAGTCCTGCCGCTTGGCCAGCAAGCAGCAAGAACCACTCCGAGCAAGGAGCTGATCTTTTTTGGTTGGGAAAAGAAGAGAAGGATTCAGTTGGGAACCAAATTCTCAGCATAAGCCCTATTTTCCTAATAGCCGGCATTCCAGCAACACTGCTCACTACTACTGGGCCAAATTACAATGAAAATTTGAAGGCTTGCCTTCGTTCTAGCTCCATAAGGAAGCCTGTTCAGCCAGACAAAATGAATGGGCAAGCGTTTTCACGCCATTTTGCAGCAGCCCCAAACTACCATGTATTTCTGAAGTGGTAGACTTTTTTTGTGAAAAACCCCTCCTGTTTTATTTCATACCTATAATTTAAAGAAGTCCATTTCCTGCTTTAAAGAGATACCTTTAATCAACAAGTTCGCCCACTGAGATGCTGTACAATTTATCAGATGAGTTCCCATTATGGTTAAGAGTTTAGAGGATGAAACTAAACACAACATGCCATCAGTATGTATAATTTGTGCTACAGTATGCTTGCTGCACTGTGTGAGAAAAGGTTAGTCAACACAGTATTACCTGCTGATATTTTGCAAGAAATAGGAGTGTAACAAACTCAGTTAATAAGAATATCCTCATCAGTGTAATTGTAGACCTTCCTTGGCCGTATTGAACGCAAAGCATGCTCCAGTGATTTCTAAAACAGAGGTACATATAGGTCTAACAGCCATCCATCCCTCAGTCATGTAGGGGAAGAAAATTCTGCTTTGATAAGGCCAAGAGGACCTGCTGACAAGAACGCAAGATACACCTCTCCTTTCACGCCATGTATGTTAGCTCCTGCAGAGAATTCTCATGCCTGCTAAGTGTGAAAGTCTCTCAGGGAAGCCACATAGCAGCTCCGGGAAAAGAAAAGTGTGTGATTTAGCTCTGATTTTAAAAAATACTTTAAAAAATACTTACGAACTGGTGATCCAAATGCAAACAAAAATATATATTTAATAACGCCACCTGTGTATGGGAGATAGGTATTATTTGAAAACTAGCAAAGTGTGCACTTGGGACCTGTGCAGCAATTACTGAGAAGTTAATCCCCCAAATGTTCATTTCTTCATGTGACATATCACTCTTTCTTTGCTTAAAGTGGGGGCATGGTCTTTTGGAATGCTCTGTCATGTAAAATACTGTTAGAAAATAAAAACTTGCATACCAGGGAGGGAAAAAGCTTACCCTTGCTGTGCTAAACTTGGATTTCAACACAACGCTGAGTTTTTAAATTTGTTTATCATAAGGGAGCATTCAAAAAAAGTGATCAACTGAAGTGGCACAGCCCATTCAAGCAAAGGTTTCCCCATGACATTAAAGTCCAGTCATGCCTGACTCTAGCAGGTGGTGCTCATCTCCGTTTCCTAGCCGAGGGAGCCAGTGTTTGTCCACAGACAGTCTCCGTGGTCATGTGGCCGGCATGACTAAACACCGAGGTGCATGGAACGCTGTTACCTTCACATCAAAGTGGTACCTTTTTATCTACTTGCATTTGCATGCTTTCGAACTGCAAGGTTGGCAGGAGCTGGGATGGAGCATGGGAGCTCACTCCATGTGTGGATTCAAACTGTCAGCCTTCCGATCAACCAGCCCAGCAGCACAGCAGTTTAACCCACTGCACCACCGCATCCCCTATATAGCCCATTATATTCCTCAAATAGGTGGACCATGTGTCCTCTTTTATGGAGGGCAATCTTCTCTTGAAGGGCTTTCAGAGGACCATTCAGTAGTTGAAGGAGACCTCTGCTTGAAGGGCTGTTCTTTGCAATTCCACTTTAAAGATAAAGAAGGATAAGGACCATTCCCTCACACCAGTTAGCACCGAGACAGCAGGCTGGTCATAGTCTTCTGCACTACTGGGAGACATGTTATAGTTCTTTTTACATTATAATAAATATTTCTAAATGTGGATCTAAAGATATGAATTGGTGCATGCAATTTTTATACAAACATCCTCTTTTGTCATCTTTTTTTGGTGATCCCCCAGAAACTTACTTACCCCTTCTGCTATATATGTTGATCATATGTTGATGCCTTGGTAATAGTGCAGGCCATTGTGAAACAGGAATTCATACTCCCAGGCTTTGAGATCTTGGACAGCATTCCTTTTGCAGGGCCACAGAGACATGCTGCTATTCTGTAAAGGCAAGAGAAGATAGGAACTGACACAATAACCTTTAGGGGATGGGAGAGAAAGCAGGGACGAAGGGAGCAATGGGCAAGACAGACAGCTGAGAAGAGGAGTTTGGCTGGTACCTCTCCCCTTCTCAGGACCAATGTTGATGCAACCAGCAGTTCTGTTTTTTAAACCCAGCAGCTGTATCCAGTCTAACTCCTCTTTAGATTAGACCCATTAAGAGACTGAGCCTCAAGTTGGACTGGCACTGGATACAATGCAGGGTCTCCCTTAATCACATGCAAAACAGTGTTGGCAGGGGGAGGTGTCTAATTTTTCGAGCAAGAGCAGCATTTGCTTCTGTAGGGCAAGACCTTCCCCAACTTACCTTTCTGGTAGGCTCTCCTCAAAACACTTTTTCCTCCATCCAAGGTTGCTCCTGGTATCAAAGCTCAGCTGTGGAAATAGCTCTGGCAGGGACAGGCTACAGGGAAACGATCTGCAAGCAGGGCGAGACCTCAGCACACTCCGACATATGCTCCCTTTGCCCTCAAAACCCACATCTGTGTTCCCTGATTTATATGTGATTAGACTGACCTAGTATAAACAAAAGGGTCTGCGGCTGTTGCTCGTTGTTTCGCCATCCATTTCAAAAAGCACATTTCATTCCTCTTACCACCATCTGGTAGGCATCTTGATAGTGAGTAATAATTACTTAATAGCAACGTTGAGCCTGTAATCAGATTGGCAGGAAAGGATCCCTGAAGGGAGGGTTTAACTTCGCCAGAGGGTCTCCTGTGCCACAAATGTGCCATTGCATTTCATGCCTCAGAAGTGATGGAATCAACAATGACATCTCAAAGCTAGATAAATTATGCATGCCAGCCAGTTCAGATGTTAACATAGGATGCAGGTGGATACCTGGTGTATTCCCTCTCCATAGTTATATGCACATTTCATTAAAGTTGCATACTTATTGAATATTAATGAATGGTGCAGTGGTTAGAGCAACCTTCACTATCCTGGTACCCTTGAGATGTTTTAGACTTCAACTCCTATCAGATCCATGGCCAATTCTCAGGCATGCTGGGAGTTGTAGGCCAAAACATAGGGAGAGACCAAGGTTCGAGAAGGTTGGATTAGAGTGTTGGACTAGGCCTGGGAAGGACCCATTTCAAGTTCACATATAGCCATAGAGGTCAGTAGGTGATCGTGGGCCAGTTCTCAACTTAACCAATTCACAGGATCATCATGACAATAAAACCAGGAAAAGAACCATGTATGTTGCTTTCAGCCACTCAGAAAAAGTGTGATATAAGTGCAATCAGTAAATAAAATAACTAAATAAATGTAGATTTGTTCAATAAAGCACATTTGTCTCACCAGAAACCCATTTGATGATTCAAGCTATGATCATATTTTATTACAGTTCTTCCTAATCCCTTTTCTTACCATTGCTTGATATGTTCAGTTCCCTGATGTGTTCCAATTCTTGATACATCTACATTCATATGGTGTTCGGGTTAGGGATCGTGATGCATTTCAAGTCTTCTAAGTGCATACCATGTAGCCTCATCCTTGAGTTAGCTGACGCTAGGCAATAGAATGAAAATAAACCATTCCTACAAGTGTATAACAGAGTTTCTCACTTCTTTCAACCTAGTTAGCTCAGGGATTTCTTCCACCACTTCTCACTGCTCATCTGTGTTAATTTGCCACTCTTGCCAATGGCGATGTTAGAGAGAGCAGAAAGATGTGAACGTTTTCTACACAGTGGCCCAAAGGTCAGAAAGCACCATTACTCTGGGACCAGCCTCCATACCCCCATCCAGGGCTGCTCACCAGCTGAGAAATGACAATAAAAGGGATGCTTCAGTGAGCAATTATAATTGGCTGTGTTTTGAGGCAGGTTTGACAAGCGGTGCTGAGACACAGCAGTGTGTCTCCGCATACTGGTTGGGAACTCCTATTCTACAAAACTCAGCTGGTGAAGCAACCTAGGATGAAAATGGAGCTCTCTTATCATACATCCCTAAGGTGATCGGACTGATCCAGCATCTCTGATACGCAGTGGAGCTCCAGAAGATCAGGTATGCCCCAACGCAATATAAAGGCAAGCTCAGCACACGCATATCCTCTCGCTCTTATGAAGCCTTATGAAGCCTTATGAAGCTCTTATGAACCCTTCCCAACCTCAGGAGAACAACTGTTTGTAGAGTGCTCCATTGCAGCCTTCAGGATGTATGGAGCCTTAAGCCATTGTCAGTAAGTGCATGTCATGAAACTGTTGTGCATGACAATAGAAACAGAACCCAGACTGCCCTTTTTAGTGCCTGCAAAGAGATGTTGGCACCTGCAGTCAACTAATTTGCTATCCTGGATAATCTGAAATCAACAAATACCAAAGACACAACTCTATCCACAAAGTAAAGCAAACTCCCATGTAATATGTGAAACAGCATCTTATCATCTCTGTACCATTTTGCCAAGTTTTGCTGATTGCATTTTCTTTCCCTTTCATTTGTATTCATCTTAATGGCTGTGAATAACATCTGGGCAAATTGTTCAATTTGTTTTTGTCCATGTGACATCAACCTTTTTTTCTGTAGATACCAAGGCCCAACAGCCTCCAGGGCAGATTAAAATCCTATGCCCTTCCAGCGCAATCTCACAGAACTACTTTATAAAGTATTTCCATTTCTGCTTATGTTATAAAAGTAATTCAAGGGAAAATAATTAAGGAATGATTTGGTTGCCAAATCATGATGAGAAATTAAGCTAGTTAGAACCATGATTTAATGATCACACCATGTTGAGGCAATAATTTAAAGATGGATTAGTACCTTTCTTTGAAACCTTTTATTGTATTTTCCCAGTGCTTGGGGCTAGTTCACACAAAGTCTTGGCAAGTAGATTATCCATCCACATGGGTGACTTAAGAGTAAACCTCATGGTAGTGTACCCTTTACCACCATGTGTGTAACTTACAATAGGAACAAAGAGTTTTACATGAAATACAATCCATTTATTATTTAGACACAATTCTCATCATGTGTTCTACACCCTGGGGAGCAGGTTGTAAACCTTAATGTTGCCCACCATGTCCTTTGCATGTTGGGGTGAACCAGAAAATGAACAGAATTTTACAAACTCTGGAAAAATGCAGCATCTTCTGCATCATTTTGAACCCATCATGAAGTGGCTGGGTTCAAACACCATGGCACTCTAGTCTGTGTGGTTTCTACCTGGTTCCACTTCCCCCCTCCCTCAACCTTCCCATTAGATAGTCACACACATTCCTACAAGCAAAGTCTCCTTTTTTTACTGTGTTGCTCCCTATCCATCTCAGCCACCTCTTACTGATAGGTCCATTGGAATTTGAGAGCAGGTTTTCCCTTTCCCCCCCTCCTGATTATATTCTCCCCTCCATCTCTTTAAACCTTCCTAGCCAACCAACTCTAAAGGGGGCGGGGGTGGGCTGCTGCTGCTGTTGTTTTATATTAAAATAAACACTTCTGCAATTCCTCCCTTTTCTCTCTGTGTATTTACCTGCTTTCTCCTGCTGTCAGAAGTAAACAGGGTGATGGACACAGCAATCAGCCAATAGGAACAAAGTGAAGGTTGTGTGTGTGTGTGTGTGTGTGTGTGTGTGTGTGTGTGTGTGTGCGCGCGCGCACGCGCGCTGCTAGGATATCTAAGAACACCCTCTTTTGTTGCCACTCTTTCCAGGGGATTCTATGAGACTTTTTTTTACCACAGATTGACAAAATGGAGCTCCTAGTCACAGTGTAGTGTGGCAATCACACAATGAATTGTTTTTCTCCAGGTACCACACTGAAATTTCATAACTGGGTCTGGACGACATGACAAACCAACAAGGGTAAAAAAACCCCACCTTGGTGTCTTGTGATGTACAAACTCAGTCGGTGTGTCTGTTGCTCGTATAATCGCCATGAGGAATGTGATGGCACAAGTGCCTCATGCTCCTACTGGAAATTCCCTGTAATCCCGAGTGGAATAAACAATACAGATCCTATTTTATTGCCTTCACCATTTGGTGAAGGTTGATTTGTTAGTTCTTCAGTGGATCCGGGTTCTTCACTATAAAGCGCAATGTTATATGAAAGTGTATATGAATGTTGTAAAGTGTTCAAAGCAGTTGACATTCATTACTGTCACATCCTTACAATAGAAGTGGCCCCTATTTTTATCCTCATGCTACAGACAGCAGAGGATGTAGAACTGATGAGTTGGTGAGGAGAAGATGCATTTGCTTTTGCTTGCTAATGTATTGAATATTTTGTTTGTATTGAATATTGAATTTTATATGTTTAAGATTCTCTGGACACCATGCTTGCTCTCTTGCTCTTTCCTTTTACACCAGACAGATTTGCATAAAGGTGTGAAGCAAAATACACCAGTGGTTGACAGAACTTAGTTTCAAATCTATTGATCTGCAGTAGTTGAAGGAGTGTTTTGACTCCCAATTGTCAGCAATAGCAACAGCTAGAAAGCTTTTTACTCCTAAATTCAGTTGCTGAAAAGAAAGCTTTGGGACACTGAGGAGTGGCATTTTGTGTGAAAAGACTTGTGACCTGGGCTCTAGTGTTAATCCCAAATTTCTGGGATGTGTACATATTCAAAGGCACCCTTTTCCTTAATTCCTAGTGTATGTCCACCTGCCTGAGCTGCTATTTTTTATCTGTCTCTGGTCAGTGAAAATCAGAGTTCTAGTAAACAATAACGTAGATCCCACAACCTCAATGTCTGCCTATCTCAGTAGCATGTCCATGGGCTATTCACCTATTTATTATATGCAAGTAGGTGTTGTGCTGGAGAGAAGCTTCCAGGCATATTGTGGAAGGGATAATATCAGGGTGTGCTGTGATTCTGTGCAAGGGCCCCTAACTGAAACACTAATTTTCTATAGCTGTATTCAGTATTCAAAGCCTCCAGAAATGCAGCAGCTTCTCCTCTTCAAGGAGTGATCATCCATGAATGGAGGGTGACAAATTTGACGAGATAGACTGTGTACACCCCCTCCTTCTATGTTTAGTCTCAATGGAGCTTGCATGGATCTCATTTCTGGGTGGAAGGAAGAAGTGCATGAATTTAAAAGCAAATTCTGCATCACTGCAGTAGACCCATATTGCCATCATGATTTTTCTAGGAGGATGGCTGTTGCTGAAAATACATAACTATGTTAAAGAATGGCAGCATTCATAGCAAAATACAGCAAATGTTATATTTTTCTTACATGCACACACCTTTGTTGAGGATTCTTGTCACTTTTACTGTATATCTAATATTGTTCCATTTTGTTTAAGCTGGCAGGATTCGTCTACGCCTGTTATGTCGTCAAATGTATCACTGAAGAAGAGGACAGCTGTAAGTAAAGGTTTCTTTATTAAAGTTGGAGCCATTTTATATCATCCATCTCGCTCATCCATCCCACCTTGATATCATTCTGAATACTTCATCATACTGTAAAACAGAATAGCTTGGGGCAAGGGCACCTATGATACTGGATCCTTTAAAGACTGTCTAGAGCAAATGGAGGGAGCGGTAAAATTGCTCAGTGCTTTAGAAACAGTTACCTTTTTTCTCAAATGAAACAGTACAACACAACTCTCTCTCTCCAAAAAAAATCCAGACAACTACAACTCTCGGTATGACAGACTAACGATTGTCCTATTAGTGCTTTATCCTATAGGTAAAGCTCTTGTAAACTATTATTCTCTTGCAGCACTTCAGGCTAGAATTGATACTGCACCAGTTTACTCATTCTGATAGTTTTATTGCAAAGAGGTGAAGCCAGAAAGAATCTATTAATTTCAGGAGGAAAGTTAATATGTTTGGGTACTTATTAATGACACCTTCTCAAACTGGGAAGAGGCGATGAGTTGGGTATCACAGGTTCAGTTCTGGGCCTAGTGGTCTTCAGTGTTTTTATTAATCATTTGGATGAGGAGATTCAGTCAATTTTCAGTTGATACAATATTGGGTGGAATAGCTAATATCCTGGAAAACAGAAACAAAATTCAAAGTGAGCTTGATAGGTTGAAGCACTGGGTTGAAACAACAGAAGGAAATTTAATAGGGATAAATGCCAAATTGTACAGCTAGGGAAAGGAACCCACATGACAGCTACAAGATGGGCGATACTTGGCTTAACACAAGCAAGGTTCTTGGAACGTTCTAGATCACGAGCTGAATGTGAGTCAACCATGTGATGTGGTTGCAAAAAAAGGCAAAACTATTTGGGGCTGTATGAATAGAGGTATCACTTCCAAATCACGCAAAGTACTAGTTCACCTTTGCTCAGTGCTGATTAGACTTCATCTTGAGTTCTGTGCCCAGTTCTGGGCACCAGAGTTTAAGAAAGATGGAGATAAACTGGAAAAGGTTCTGAGAAGGGCAAAGAAAATGATCATAGGACTGGAAACAAAGCCCTGTGAAGAGGGACTGGAAGAACTGCTCATGTTTATTCTTGAGAAGAGATGACTGATGATGTTCAAGCACTTGAAAGGTTGTTTCACAGAAGTGTGGATTGTCACTGAAGTGTGGGTAATTTGTGGATAACAAACAAACCATGTTTTGTTAGCGCAGCTGCACTCACATCCATCACAGCTCAACAATCCACAGTTCAACGACAACCTATACCCAGACAAGTGTAGGTTGCTCTACTGTGTGAACACAGCCAATGGCTTTAATGTTCTTCCCTTTAATCTTACTTTTTACATAGTCACCTGGCTATGTTTGTCATCAATATTCATTCAATTAATCTTAATTTACCTTTAATTTACAAAGTGGGGAGGCCCACGTTGCTATACGCAGCATATACATATGTGAATAAATAAATAAAATATACCAATTTTTCTTATATTGCAAAAAGAATGACAAAACCATAGACAAACAAGATAAATAATTCCAATATTATGATCCCACAGAAGCGTAAACACCATAAAAGTAAAATTCCTACTCTTTTCTTATGACATATGTGCCAGCCTCACAAACATATTACCACTGACAGAAGTATCAGGCGTCAGACAAGGACCAAGAAAATGGAAACTCCATGTTGTGATTTCCTGCCCCATCCCAATAAAGTTTAGGTGTACTTATCTGTGTTGTTTCTTAACCCTTGATAGCAGCAGCCATTCCTACTTGGTCTCCACTGCTTCTTTTGGATGTGTGAGAGTGAGCAACAGGGCTTTTGCATTTCTGAAAATAACTCTAGAATTTGCAAAGTCCACTGAGCTCCAGAAATAAGCATTTCGCTCATTTTGGGTTGTTTTAGAAGCACAAAATGCCATCATATGAGTGGTTGCATCTGTGAGTGCAGGGAGCAATACAATACTACCCTGTGAAATTAGATCCAGAATGTTTTATTTCACTTGCAGGAAGGTTCCCAAGCAGAATCTGTTCAGAACACTCCTGCTGACTGAAATGGGGGAAGCCTACTTTCAACAAGTCTCCAGACTACAGCACTTCCTCCCCCACTGCTCCAGAACATTGCAGAGCATCTCTTCAGGAGACAAAGTGGACAGAAGGTGGGAGGAGGAAAAGAAAGATCAGCTCTTCCCCCATTTAGCCAGCAGAAAAGTTTTCTAAATCAAAATCCTGTTGATAGAAGAAACTTTCTATCTGCGGGTGGATATTGATGCATCCAACTCACAGGTTACAGGGAGAGAAATTTAGGTATTATGTTAACTTAGGTTAGTGAGGACCCCATGTGGTTTTCTCATTATCTATCCAGAATTATATGCCAGTTGTCATTAATATCAAAGGTGATGAGTAACATAAAGAGATTATATTTAGAAGCAGGATAAACAAATACTTTAAAGCCACTCTTTTCCTTGCTCACATTTTTACATTTAGCCTAGGATTTGTTATGAAGCAGTTCACTCAATAGCAGTTCAGAATTCAATATAAAACATCATGTTTTAATGATCAGAGAATGTGAGCAGAGCATGAATTGATTTGTTTTTCTGTTTCAGTTTATGTCTTGACCTGTCTGAAAGGCTCAGGGCAGGTAACCAACACGATTACAATTATCTCTGTCCGTGGAGACTTATTCCAATAGAACTTATGATCAAAGGTGTGACTTGTCTGGGCACATAAACACCATCCTGCAAGTCTGCTCTGAGAATGTTGTAAGTGGACTGGGTGCGCCAGGTTATCTTCATTTCCCTATCATAACCAGATGGTACAAATGTAGAAATTTGTGACTAGGACTTAGACAAAAAAGTGGGTGAGGGGACCGAAGGAAAGGCAATGTTATTAACTATAGTCTGCACTTGTGCAAAACCTCACTTTACATTACATGCTGGAGAAGATCTTCTGGGAAAATGATGTTTGCTTGCATTGCATTACAAGCTAGGAAAATTCATATTATGAACCAGATAATTATAAGGTTCAAAATTTCATGATGCTGTTCCAGCATTGAAATTATCACTTAAGTGCCATCTTCTTGATTCATTGCCACATTTCTACTGGGGACTGTTCATCTTGGGTAAGTTTGGAAAGTCCTGGATGTGCATTGGATAAAACAATGGTTGCAAAGGACAGAAATGGAAAGTGCTGCAGCAAAGAGTAGCTTTCAGGGCTTCTGTTGGCAGACAGAAATGAGAAACATGATAAAGGAGAGCTAAAGTGTTAAAATAGGGCATACACTTCAAAGAGATATTCTGCAAAAGTACAATGGGCTAGAGACAGAGACCCGGGAACAGAAGGGCAACCACAAGTCTGTGTTGTCCTTTCGCATTGCATTGCTCTGTTGATTTCAATATCATAAAGGAGTTGTCATTCTAACATCACTGGGATTATTGGCAGCAGCAATTTAAAACCACTAAAATGTCAACACCAATCTCTCCTTGGTGGAATATAACCTTACCTAAGCATCTTGTTTGTTTTTCAGAAATCTTATTAGAGCTACATTTTCTTAAAATTGCACAGTTAATTTTATTACGTTGAAATATTCATTTAATCAGTTTAAAGTCTCTCTAGCAATTTGACTCTTCCAGTACAAGCTTTATGTCAAGAAAATCCAACATTCAATATGTTTTTTGAAAACATCATTAAATATTTAGTTACTTAGTGAAAAGCTCAAGAGTGCCATCAATAAAACAACAGCCTGGTGGGATCTGTAGATTACATGAAATTAAAAGAAGAGCCTTGCTATTTCACTGCCTCTACTCTGCCCTTGGAGGAAGAATCGGTACATCTGGCATGTTCCAAACAGGGCTGTCTGAGGAAGCACAATGTGATCGGTCAGGGAAGCCTCATAGATGTTCACAAAAGCTATGCTTTGGTTTTTCTGGGCCCTTCTTTGGGCAAACACACTCATGTCTCCCAAGCAATAATATTTGGCTATCTTAAAAAAAAAGTCACTATACGATTTTCATGTCCATGTATTACACTACCTCCTTTGGCTCTATATCTCATCGTTTACTTTCTTCCCTTTTGTTTTACTTGAAGAAAAAATAGATTAATAATGGCACAATCCATAATCTGCACCTCCATTCCAGATGTGCTTTCCAGATGTGCTGTGGCCCTGCTGGCTGGAAACAATTGGATCTATAGTACATCGCATTTAGAGGGCAGCAGGTTGGGGAAGGCTGACCTATGCGTTGATTCCCCCCTTTCTACTGAAAGGAATGCTTCATTAGCAGCATGATCCTATGGATGTCGACTCATAAGTAAGATCCAATGCATTCAGAGGACCCTAGTCACAAAGAAATGTTAGTATCGGATTGTAGCCTATAAGGCTACATATATTGCTGTATATATTTGTTGGGATAAAACCCATTGAACACAAATGTAGTTTGATAGATGCATTTAACACCTGGTTAAACCACGGTTTGTTGCCCTGCATGGGATCTTCATGGCAGATCACTGAACAAACTGCTTTCATTTCTCAGTACTTGACTTTGTCTCATCCATCCACCCTTTGCCTGCATTCTCTATGTATCACAAATGTAGTACTGGCACATAGAGTGGCCAATTTATTTACTTTTAATTACTTTTGTCCACAGAAGACCCAATACAGGTCTCCTGAGCAAAACAACCCATGAACAAACCATGGTTTTACATTTGTATGCAATGAAAATGTAGTTTACATGAGTTGCGATTATCGTTCATAACTCATCAATGAACCATGGCATTTCATTTTGGCTAGTTTGCGGGTAATAAACCATGGGCTTTTAGAGTAGTGGGACAAGCCTTGCTGAGGGGGGGTGGGAATCAGCGTGGCTTCCGCAAGGGGAAGTCTTGTCTCTTAAACATATTCCAAAACCCCAGATGTCAAGTTCCCTTGATGTGAGTAGCCACTGCTTCTTAGATACCTAAGACACTTTACAAAGTTTCATGCTATTCACATTCACCCTGTT